CCCCTGACCAAAAACCTTGGGACATCATAAAAATAGTAATTAAGCATTATTATTTCATGCACCCAACAATGCCAATTTCACAACACTACACAACCAGGATTCCTTTAAGTTGTTTTATTGATGACAGAAACTGTGCATAATTGCTGATTTGATGAGGAACCTGCAAACAATAAAGAATGTCTCTGTTGCCAACAAAATACAATTATTCCAGGTCCTTTAGACATACAAATATAGAGTTCTTCACACCAGATGGCTTTTGTGCAACAAAGCCATTTTAGAATGTTTAATTGTGCTTCTACAAAACCTTCAGAGAATGAGGTAGTTTCCTTTACCCACTGTATTTTCCACATTCCCATTATTACACTGTAGTCAGCCGAAATCCTTTCACCATAACCTTAAACAATTTTTCATGAAAGCCAATCCTCATTTACAATATTTATTTCTTCCTACTTACTTACTTCTTAAAGAGAACTTCAAAAAAATGACTACAGACGAGAAATTGAGGCTAGGGCTCATCATACCAACAGTAACTGCAATCAGATTCTGATACAAGAGAATAGGTTCTACAAATTCCCTGGTTAACCTTAGATGCTGTTCCTGTCCTTAAGCTCTGATTTAAAAACTGCCTCAAACTACTTATTTGCCCTTGGCTGCCGTATCAAGCAGGCACAAGTTCTTTGAGAGTGTAGGTCTGGCTCCAGCTTCATGTATCAGCTGGCTGAGGATCCTGTAGGACCATCCTTGTTCTAAGTGACCAGAGAAACATCTGCAGAATTTGCATATGCAGCAGGGGTTGGCTAGCTTATTTTTAAGACATACTTAAAATCTAATTGTAGCCATACTCTTGACATAATTCCTATACTCTTTTAAAACTTATCAGTAATGTAGAAACTGAGGATATTTGTATTCCTTTGTTTGAGCCTAGGAACGACTCCAATGTCCACGTCCAACTGGCCTCGGGAAATTAATTCATGTTGCAAATTTTCATTAAAACAACATATAATAGCCAATTTCCAAATTAGTTAATCTTCACCAAAGAAAGGTGGTAAATAGTATTTCTAAGGGGGAAAAAATGGCCACAATCTACCCCTTGTCACATATTTTTGGGCTTCAAGAAGTTCCATGAGTCAGAAAAAACTGGTTGAAGAAATAGATCTTATAGACTCTGCAATTATTAAAAAGTCTCATCCAAATTGGTAGTAACCTAAAATGGTTCCTACATAACAATACCCTCAGATTACAAGCTTGAGGTCATGGCCTAGTACTAGCATCTGATGGATTGGCTACTATAGTCACTTCTTAATGGCATGGCTTGTGTTTGGCACCTACATTGAAGGCTAAAGAGCCCAACACCTGGAAGAAGGCCAACCCAGAAGCAAATTTTAATTTCTACTTTCTCTTATTTTTCATCTGACGTCTCTCACTAATTTTTTCCCATAATTCAATAATGGACAACAAGGAACCCAGCAATTGATATTGGGTGTGCAGAGAAATCCAATGAAACTGTATTTTAATCCACTCCTGTATCATAGCTTCCATGAATTCTCACCATTCTGACAGTGGGTTACATACACTGATTACAATGCAACTTGGGTTTTAGGTCATGTTCATTGGGTCCATCATGGACAGATGACTTAAAACTTTAACACTTGCGTCTAGTAGATTTTAAATATCTGAGAGATCTTTTATTATGGTATGTATGTTGAAGATGGAAAAAATAAATTACTTTTTCTGGTTTCACATTTTAAAGGGGCTTTCCAGCAATGATAAAAAATTAATCTCTTTGCAGTACCTTAAGTGGCCTTTCTTATTCAAAATCTCAAACTGTGAAAAATCATGGTTATGTGAAAGTTATTTTCTGAGTAGCTAGATCTATCACCTTTTAGCTAATGGTTTAAACAGCTTGAAAGATTGACTCCCAGGATCATTTTCTTTATTTCAGTGTAATCTGGCTTTGACTTTAAGATGCTGACTGAAGTAGGCTGTGCTCTGTTAGATGTAGCTTAACAACTCAACACTGCTCCAAAGGAATGCAGACACAGTGTACCAGGTTGATGGTAACTAGCAAGCCAGAAAGTCACTACCCCACACACCCAGGGGGCAAATAACCCTAAGTACTAACCTTTCTAAGCAGTACTCCACTAAAGGAAAGGAATGAAAACAGAACATTTTCCTCAAAAAGTGAGATGAAATGCTTATTGCGGTTTCTTGAGAAGAGAGATATGCTCTGGTCTTCCTCTCTTTATAATCTAGCTACTAAATTCTGCTTTTATATCTTAAATTAGTTCAAGTAACAGACTATAAACTCCAAGAGGTAATGCTATTTATTTTCTAAAACTAACTTCCTATCTATTGCTGCTGTGTGAGATGCACATTTGTGGGTGCTCCATCAACACTTATCACCTGATGTGTAATCCCCACGATCTTGTCTGTCAAGTAATATTTATTGAAAAGTTGTACCCCTTGCTAAGGTTTTCCATATCCATGTAGGAAGAAATCCATATTGAAAGGAAGGGTTCTTTGGTTGTATTTAGAATCAGGACATGAAATAAGGAGTTTCTCAAACCCCTAAGTCCTTTGCCTTGGTACATCTGATATTGCTTTAAATATTTCAAAAAATACAACTCATGCAAAGTGAACAGTAAGTCTTTTGCTCGTCTGCTTGTCTTCTGTTTTCCCAATTATGAGGGTAAGGCAAACAGTTTTGGAAAGGCAAAACTAACAGGTTTAAAAAGGGGAAACAGAATACCATGATCGGACATTAAGTAGGACAGGGAAAGAAATATGGTTATCATGATGGATGCTTTCAACAGCACCATCCCCCTAACACAGACTTAATAAAAAGTTCCTATAGTGTTTTTGACAAAGTAATACTTTCATTGCCTCCAAAGGGCCAAGAGTGTTCAGACTTGGGGCAAGTAAGACTACCTGTTTAGGTACAATTTGTTCAAGCAATAAAACTCATTTGGTGAGAGAAACTTTAATCCAGGATGCGTAATGGATGCTCCCCTCATCTTCAGGAAAGCTGACGTCACATTCCACCACATAGTTTGTGTGTTGTTTTTTTTTAATAGCAGTCTTTTTGGGGGAGGGGAAGAGTTGGAAGTGTTTATCAGTAGAAAGAACATGATTCCCTAACAAGGGTTATTAGTCATTTCCTTCTTATCCCTTTTCCTTTGTGCTTTTGAGAGCAAAGGCTAAAACAGGTATTATATCGATGCATTCACCTGCCAGCTATAATAGAGGGTGTGGTACATAACCCAGACCCTTCTTTCGGTGTGTCATGAATTGAATACTTGATTAGTGACTATAACAATAATAACAAAAATTTTCTAATAGCAAATCTCTTTGGGAAATGCTCAGGTCTTGTCTATGTCAGAATACTGCATTTTAAGATGTTGATTTTTACTGATGTGTTTTGGGCAAAGCTGACAAACTCGGTCTGATATTGTAAAAACTGGAAAAAGTGGGAGGAAGAGAACATGCAAAATAAGTTAATCATTATCATTTTAAGTGCCACTAGTTCTGTTTATATTCATTCACATGTGAATTGCTGAATCTCATTTGATCAACCCAATTAAACATTAAATAATTGCAGCCAATTATGCAAATATCAGCAACAATATTAATTTGTTGATCTTTTTTGAGCAGATTAGCCTCACATGTTCCTAATGTTAGACTATCTTATGCCTTAAATGATCAATTAGTGTTAAGATAACTAAGTCTTGAAGAATGGATAATTGCCTAGTTATAATGTGACACTTGCTGTATTACTCCACTGCAATTAAACAAATAGTGCACAAGAAAAAAAGAAGTGCAGATGTTCCTTTTAAATCTATTTAACAAGTGAGTGTCAAGGTCAATTTCCTGTCTTTTTTACTTAAGAGAATGGAGGTCTCTAGTTTTTAAAAATACATATCCTTAGTCTTCTCCGAGTCTGGTGGGAAGGGCTTAACGTGCTCTTATGTTTTTATGAGAGAAATCATATAAACATAGTGTTCTCTAGCTTTCACAATGGGCTAACTAAATTTAGAAATGCAAAGTATAAAATGTACTTATGGCAAACAAGTAATTTCCCTTTCTCAAGGGAGCTAGAGTCTAGTTATTATGTGCTACTTGACAGTTAAAATTACCTGAAACTCTTTTCTGGACTGCTATATTAAGAAGGAGGTCAAGGGACTCAGCAAAGGCAAAGGCATACCCTCACTGAGCATGTGCAGGGGAGTCAAGAGTACCTTAGGCTGCAGAGAACGGACTGGTCCCAGACTGCAGATCACCAATTAAAAGCCCCTAAAAGATATTTTTACTATTCCTTTTCATCTTAGCCTTCTCTAATTTTCATTTTACCAGTCCTCTCTAAAAGAGACCCTACAGCTAAAAGTTTTGGAAAAGAATCAAAGCCCATTTGCTATGTGTTGTTAAATGCCTCGAGGAAATGTTTTCAATGCATCAAACTTTTAGAATGTTTTTCCTTTGCTCCGAAAAGAGAATGAAATATGATCAGCAAGATGAAAGTTATTAGGACTGAGGGAAAGCAAACTACAATGTCTGAGAGTTGACCTACCAAGGGTAAATGTTTTCTGTCAAGATTTGACTTTCCCATAGATAAAGCAGGAAAGGATACAATTTTAAATTCACAGCTCCCAAACAAGGAAAATATCATCAGTAATTGCTCTCCCTGTATCCTAACCACATGCTCCCTCAATCCCCAGTCAACAGAAAAGAGTACCTGCACAAAGAGTGAAAAAACTTGAGGATTCCTCTTCTTTCCTCCCCTCCCCTTCACCTCTGATTTCTTTTGCATTTAACACTTAACATGTAACATCTGTCATTTTCATTTGGTTGCTATGATATCATGAATTCTCTAGAGTTATTGCTTCCACTCCAAGATACCCTGCAAACATGAACCGATGCCTGCAACTATGCCTCTCAGTATCTCTAATGACTTTGGAGTCCATGGAAAATAAAGACAACATAAGGTAAACATTACCCACCATCAGAATTGTTCACAAATTCTAATACAGGTTTCAAAATACAGAAACAGAGAAGGTATACTTCTATAGAAGCTATATGTTCATTTGTTCGTTTGTTCATTCGCATCAAACATTTACTGAGTACCTACCATGTGCCAGGCATTGGGGATACAAAGATCTATAAGGCATTAGGCCGTCAGTCTGGTAGGAGCCCATGGACAGCCAGTTACAAAGCCATGTGGAAAGGCAGTGGCAGCAACGTGCCCAGGTTTTACGGATGCACAGGTGAGCTCACAGCAGACTGAGATACCTGAAGAAGGGAGGTATTTACCTTAAGGTGGACTTAAGGGCCTGAAAAACACAATGATGGAAGGAAATCCAGTTTTTCTTTAGAATCTTCATTTTAAAATAAAGCACTTTCTGAGTGCTTCTGAGGCTAATGATGTGTCACCAGAAACATTACCTATGAAGTATTCAAATTAGCTTTCAGACACACACACACACATCTCATTTGGTTGAGGAGCCATACCTTATACTAAATAATAAACATTTTTGGATCTGAGTGAACTACTAAGGGAAGCACTCAAATTATTAAGGAAAATTCTGTTATATGGCTTACATTATTATCTTTCTGGGAAAAGGTAGGAAGGTAAGCTACTACTACCAAGCTTACAAAACACCATTTGACAATTACGATTCATGTTCTCTGGCACAAGGGGGGAAAAAAGTCATTCTTGTAACACACTAATAATGCAAACTACATTATGCACAACTACTAACAGGTAGGCAAAAAGATCTATCACAATTCAAATGCAGCAGTCTATTCCAAAAGCATACAGTAGATTTTCTGCATTTTTCATTCAGGATAATACGATTGTCCAGTCGCTCTCTTCTCTTCCATACTAGAACAAAAGCAAGAAAACATGATTCAGTACAAAAACTCACAGTGTGGGAATAGGTTATAAACAAACTTCACACAACCAAAGCTATACCAAGAGTTCGCTTCTGTTTTGAACACTAAAAGCATATATATTCATATTAGAAATAAGATTAGAGAGACAGAAGGAAGGCAGGCAGGAGAGAAAGAGAAAGAAAGAGCTTACAAAAATATAAGAAAGTCGTATATAAGGAGATCTGTAAAAAACCAAATAGCTAGAAAGAATCACAAATTTTTATAATGATTGCTGAACAAATTTATAGCTGGTGTATGTCCTACATGTATTATTTAAGTACAAGTCTCTTATCACTATTTCTGTATTTTGCTTCTGTTCTGCAAGCAAAGAGTTAAATGAGTTAAATTAACTATTGTTATCTCAAAGATATTACGTGCCAGAAATGGAAAGCCAGTTCTATATTCAATATTCGTTTCCTCACTCAACAAACATCTGTGCTGCACCAAGTGTATTCCTCACACAACCTGCATCAGGTTGTTAGAAATGGAAAGTTCCAGGACCCAGCTCAGACTTACAGAATCAGAAAATCTGGGGATGCATTTCCCTCTGAATCCGAAGTGCACTTATTTCATGTTCATGCACAAAATGAAGTTGAAGATCCTCATAGATCGTCTCTAAGTCAAAGTTGTTTGTAATATGTTAGCATCCCAATTTTTCCTGTTCCTTTAAAAGTCATGTAGCTAGTATCATGATCAGAATTTGCTTATTTGCACTAGCAAATAATCTGCTATGAAACAAACCTGAATTTTAATACTTAGAATTAATGAAACAAAGATATTACGATATTACGTGCCAGAAATGGAAAGCCAGTTCTATATTCAATATTTGTTTCCTCACTCAATAAACATCTGTGTTTAAATAAACTGTCACCCTTTGAGCATAGCTGCATGCCAGGAAACTACGGACAGACAGTAGGTGCTATTGTCAATCCCATTTTATGGACGAGAAAGCTGAATATTATTAATTACGGAGGTTAAATAACTTGCCTAACACTGTACTTAAGATCCCAGATCTTAGGCAAGGTCTCTGTCACATCAAATTTCACATTCTCGACCATCACTTTGACTGCCCTCTACCTGTCCACAAAGCCGTGTGTGTGGAGACAGACCTGGAGTACGTCTTCCCAGCCCAGGGAAACAGGGCATTGAATGTGTCACTTTGAGTTTGCCAGAATCACTCAGACCATGTCCCTTTCCACATGAACTGGTTTACTTGGCCCTAATATAACTTTAAATTAGTATGAATCAGAATTTCTGAAGTAGAAAGGACTTTACCAACCATCTTAAATATAGGGCAAGACCAAAGTAAGGGACTCCAGATGTTATTTCTTTACTTCAGGATAATTTTATTTTTAGCTGTTTTATATATTGGGATTCCAGGAAAGATTTCTTTTGAAGAAAGTTCTGCATAAAAACCAAGTGTGAGGGGCTGGGGTTGTGCCTCAGTGGTAGAGCGCTTGCCTCATTTGTGTGAGGCACTGGGTTCTAGCCTAAGTACCACATAAAAAAATAACCAAATAAATAAAGGCATTGTGCCCATCTACAACTAAAAAAATATTAAAAAAAAAAAAAAACAAGTGTGAGGGAGTGGCGGTAAATGCCTCTCATCCCAGTAAGTTGGAGGCTAAAGCAGAAGGATTGCAAGTTCAAAGCCAGGCTCAGTAACTTAACGAGGCCCCACGCAACTTAGTGAGACCCTTTCTTAGGGTAGAAAATGAAAAGGGCTGGGGATGTGGCTCAGTAGTTAAGCATCCCTGAGTTCAATTCCTGGTACCAGAACAGAACAGAACAAATCATGAGTGTGAAGAGCAGTGAATTTTAATCCAAGCCTGACATTTCATACACAAGGACACTAAGGTTCTGATCACACTTAGGCACAAGCCCAGCTCTCCTGCCTCTAATGTTATTTCTCCTGAATCACACTGTGCAGTACTGTGTCCCTCTTAAGACATTTTTAAAAACTCAGAGAAGAAACCATCAAATACATAAGAATAGTGGGAAGTGAGACAAAGTCTACACACCGCCTATGGTTCAGACCAGAAAGAGTATGAGGGAAGCCAAGTGACATGAGACTTAGTCCACATCAGATCCAGCTGCCCAAAAGGGCAAACACCGGACAACACATGCCCAAATGGTGCCTCATTTATGTATGATGTCTACATTATTTAAGGTTCAGAGCAAAGCACTTGTTTTATTTTCTTTATTTGGATTCTGACACTTTTATCATCACTAATAATTGTTGGTGTATGGACATTTTGTGGATCATGATTACTATCACTTCACCTTGAATCTCACTGGTTAAAGTAAATTTACTTTAATTAGTTGTTTCATAAATGGTCAAAAAATCAATTTTGGTTACAATGACAGACATAGTCCGTATCACTCTACAGACCTGCATAATACGGATTCAGTTTGACCCCTCTCATCCTGCAATTTACACTTTTATGTAAAATTGTAGCATTCTGAGCTTTATCTAAGAAATGTGCTATTATTACAGATAACTTATCATGTGAAGACCTAGTTATTTAGCCATCAAATTGTTCGTTGGACTGATGGATGATTCAATTTTTCAAGGAAAAATAATTCTAAGTAGAGATGGAAGATTTTAGTGAAGCTAAGAATTCCTTCTTAAAAGTAGGAGTTCACAGAAGAAAGGGAAAGAGAAAGCATGCCTACATGAGCTAAGAAGTCATTATACAGATCTAGTATCTCTAATCTGAAATGCATGGGACCAGTGCTTTGAATTTCAGTTTTGTTTTGTTTTGGAATTTTTGCATATACACATTGAAGTACCTTGGAGAACGGGACTGAAGTCCAAATACAAAATTCACCTGTGTTTCCTATACGTCTTATAAACACAATGTGGAGGTAATTTTATACAACATTTTTAATAATGTTGTACATGATGCAAAGTTTGTGTACTCTGAACCACTAGACTTGTGAAATCATGTTGCCACTCAAAAAGTTTCGAATTTGGACTCTTGGAATAGGGATGCTCAGTTTGTACTATTGTCAACGTCATTACAAAACCCACAGGGAACCTCCAACATTCGCAGGCCCACCCCAAGTCATATTTACTTAGCTTTATTCATTGGAATCAGAGATGGGGCCAAAGCAATGTGGCAGACTAGGTTACATCTGCAGAAGGGTGTTTTGAGCCCCATGTTTAGTATGATGTGCAGAATTTCAATCTCTTTAACATTTCAGTTAGAACCCCAAACCAAAACATGACTAATGACAAGGCCATTGCTTCACATTTGAGATACATATGGCAAATAATTTCATACGGCTTTTGCTCAGTGCATTTACATTCTGCAGAAAATTCTTGGCAACACACAAGGACAACCTGTGTGTCATGTACTCACTCCCTGCAATGCCAATAAAAATATAATCAGTGCCGCCCCCAGCTAGTAATTTGTCATCCTTGTTCTAAACACTATTGAAGGGCTGGGCAAAGCTTTGTAGTCCTGTAACATGTGGAAAAGGGTGTGCTGTGAACCGCAGGGGCTGGAAACTGGTCAAGGAAGTCAGTCATCAGAGTAATCAGGAGGGAAAGTTCTCCTCTACACTGAGGACAGCTTGGGATATTGGAGAGACTTCTAACCCCACACATAAGTAACTGAGCTGCTCTATTGAGAACAAAAAAAGTATAATAACTGCTAAATAGTCATTTGTGCTTTCAAAGCTCAAGCTTCGAGTGAGAAAGTGAGAAAACAGACTTTGATTCCATCAGGTGACCCAGAATCAATAGGGATCCTGCTCCGGTCCCTTTTAGCCTTTCTCTTTCCTAAAGTACTTAAGATGTCTATCCCTGGGTCTCGGCAGTCACTATGCCCCACTTTCTGAAACCTCAATGGCAGCCATGTTGGTCACTCACACTGCTACCGCTGGTGATTAAGAGTCAGGTTCTAGCTTTTATGTGATCCAGATAGCAGTGTCAATGTGTATCTCACCTGGAAAATCTGAAAGTCTTCTGTTGAAAAATAATTTGACACTCTCTATGGTTTGGATTTTGGTTGGGGTGTCCCCCAAAGGTCCATGATTGAAGACTTGGTCCCCAGGGTGGTGTTACTGAAAGGTGGTAGAACCTTTGTGATGTGGGACCTAGAGAGAGTCCTTAGGTCATTGGGACCATAACCTAAAAAGGAACCTGGCCCATCCCTTCTGCTTCCTGGCTCAAGATGTAACCAGCTGCTGTGACATGCACTGCTGTCATTGATCTCCTCCTCTCATTAAAGGCCAAATCAATGAGGCTCAGTGATCTTAGGTTTTGAACCTCCAAAACTGTGAGCTAAATAAGCCTGTTCTCTTAGGAAAGTTAGTTGCCCAAGGTATGTCACTTTAGCAACACGAAACTGACTAAAACAACATCCTTCAAGATATTCCCTCTCCCTTCTTAGTATGTGTTAATAAACAAAAGCAAAAGGTCTTTTGCTCTTTGGTACTCTCCTGGTGTCTTACTTAGCTATTCACGGCTTTATTAATTCTCTGAAGAAGCACCATGGCCTGTGTATTCTGCCCTAGAACCTGAGTGAACCCTGGGGCATGACAAGAAAATAAACAATTTCAACATCTGAACAGGTTTTCAAAGCAGGGTATAAGGGTGTGGCTCATTATAATGTATTAGATGGTAATCCCTGAAACTATGGTCAGTGTAACACTTAAGAGAGTGTATGTGTATTTGGGATGCAGGAAAGAGTTAATGTTCAAGAGAGACTTAAAAAGAGATGAGTATTGAAGATAACCAAGACCTTATCAGACAGGCAAATCATACAAGGTGCTGCAAATATGGGTGGCATCAGAGAGCACAGCACCTTTGGAGAAAAGAGAGGACCCCAAAGTGGGGGCAAAGATGAATATGATGGTGAGTAACTGGAACAGCAAAGTATGATAGGAGAGAAAAGAAACAGACAACATGACGAATGTTCTCCAAGTTTACACTTGGTTAAATATGAACAAAGACATGGTTTTTTTTGTCGTTGTTGTTGCTTAAAAAATGACAACAACAACAACAAAAAAAATGGGAAAAAGAATAACTATTCTTGGAAATGTTCCCCTTCTTGGAGGTTATTTGTGGAGTAATCTAAGACCCAAGGAGCAATATGGGTAATTAGCTAAATGAGATGATGGGATGAATACTTAACTTCAGAGATTCTGACTCATGCAGAAGTACAGAAGCTAAAATGAAAGTCAAATCTGTGGTTAAGAAGAATTTTCCCCCTGGGTCATTCTGGCAAGAATCTTGAAAAAAATTTTTTTGGTGGTGGTTGTATCCCTCATCTTCAATTTTACCAGAGTGCTTTGTAGGAACCATTTGTGTTTCCATATAATGCCAAAAGAGATCAAATGTGAAGCATGATGCAATGCCATGCTTTTTCTTCAGTAATTACTTAAATTATTTTTCTTGGAAACAGACAACCTAGTAGCTTGGCCGACAGCACCAATTTGCCATCTTGTATGAGAACAATTTTGAGACTTTAGGTTCCGTGCACACAGGCATAAAATAAATGAAGAAGAAAGGTGTGGTCCTAGACTATGAAGGGTGGTCCTCTGTGGCTCAATGTGGAGCAGATGTGGAGCTTCTGGTTTGTGGTTAATTCAGAATTGCTGTAGTTGCCCACATGTCCCCTGACTGTATCCCTTTGTTTCTTTGTTCACTGTGGGGCTCTGAATCCATCATTAGTTTTTAGGGTTTCTACCATTATATTTTACTACCTAAAGTAAAAAGAGGAATTATGAATTTCTTCTTAGTCATGGCACTAAGGCACACAGAGAGCATATAAAATTAGAGGGGAGGGGAAAGTTCAGGAACATTTTCTTTAGTCACTAACATTCGGCTTCCATGATATTGCTTTGAAAAATGTTCTTTTTTGAGAACTTTAATAATGGATTCCCAGCTTGCCCACAAATTCCGTGTGTGTGCTTCAGTTTCATTCATACTTTTGGGTCTCATGCAAACATGTCAGCATCTCAATGCCAATGAGACCCTTTTCTGCCTTTGCCTCCTCATGATTCCTTCCCATGACTATGTTTACTGAACATCTATGCTTAGGTCTTTTTTCTTTCTTCTTTTTTATTATTAGTTGTTCAAAATATTACAAAGCTCTTGACATATCATATTTCATACATTTGATTCAAGCAGATTATGAACTCCCATTTTTACCCTGTATACATATTGCAGATTTCAATTCCAGCACAATGGTGGAATTTCTCTCAATGTAGTGACTTTTCTGTGAAGCCTTTACAACCAAATCAAGTGAGTTTAAATTTTACTTTCTTTTCTGCAGTAATGGAGACTGAACCCAGGGCCTTACACATGCTAGGCTTACTCAATAATTATATTTTATATAATCTTCAAGAGAAATCCCTGAAATCTCATTTTAGGTATTAGCTGCTATAAATGTATAATTTGTGCAAGAAAATTTTCTGAAGCAATCTTTCTCTCTTCTCATTTATGGACACACTTCTTCCCCTCCTAAAAATCTCTAAATTCCTATGGAAAATGGCTTTCTCAATCTATCCGATTATGATTATTTTTGTTCCATTTATGCTCTTTATCTGAGCAAAACTGCAATAATTTAACATCTTCATCAGGTTTATTTAGACAACTCTGAAAAAAATTAAAATGTCTGAGCCATCAATTCAGCAATTGTTTATTAGTTATCCCTCAAGTTACTTGTTTCTGCATATAAAAGCAGAAAAAAACTGAGTGATATTTTTCTCTCTTCCAATATGAAAATTATTGTTTTCTTTTCTTTTTTTTTTTGCTTACAGAAAATTCTTAGAGAAAACTTTGTTGAAGTAAGGCAGCTCATTGATTCAAAACCCAGAACCATTCTTTCCTTTTAATACCATAAAGCTTACATAAAAGTTATTGAGTAAGTCTTAAAAGAATACCATTTTTATCACTACCCAAGAACCTCATTTACTCTCTAGGTACCTGCTGCATTCCCAACCACCTTTAAATCTGCTTAATTTTATGACTCAATATCATCTGACATTACCTAAAATATCACGTTTTATTTGACTTTTCAATATTGGTCTCAGCTCCCTTTGGATAATTTCAGTAACAGGCAATGATAGTACCTGGGCTCAAAAAAATCCTCCAACTTGTAAACGGTATGTAAATTATAAAATAGTCTCTTCTTTAGGTAGCCCAGTGTTATCTGATATTTGGCATGTCTGCCTGACTGCCTGATGAGACATTACTGAAGGCTGTTGCTCAGAAAAAAATTGGGTGAAACAAAGCTAGTGGTATGAAAAAATAGGGTGCATGCCCTTCAACTCAATACAATACCAGGGGATTGTTTTTCCTAAGGAAATAATCAACTATGTACTATTCAGAGAAGTGAAAACAATCATCAGCAACACAAATGTTCAATAATATGATTTCTTTAAAAAATGATAATGTATCAATATAATAGAATTCAATTGAACTATATAAGAGGTATTGAGAAAGTGATTTCAGATGAAAAAGCAAAGGGAACAAAATTATGTATAATCTGACTCCATTTTGGGGGGAAAATCATGGTCTAAAAGTATACAAAGGCTTACTCAATATTGAAGGTGTAGACCTTCAAGAGTACAGCAGTTCTACCTCAGTGTTGGAATCACAGATAACAATTTGCTTCCTGTGTTTTGTTCTGTTTTCAAGAGTTTTTTAAATGAAAATGTTATACTTTTTGATGAGACTTAAGTATTATCAAAATTTACATTTACTTTTAAAATGTTAATCTGGAGTCTCTAATAATCTCTCTTTCTCTTTTAATACGTATCTTCTTTTCCATTACTGCTCTGCTCATGCCTACCCATAGGAGAAGGAATGGTTTCCTTAAATTTAATTTACTGATCTCAAATTGTAATATTTACTCTTTTTTTCCAGGATGGAATAAGGTGGTATTTATTTTTGCTTTTTGGTGCTGGGGATCAAACCCAGGGCCTTACACATGCTAAGCACACCTCCAACTCCTGTGTGGTATTTCAAAAGAAAGAAGTCTTTACCTGGATATCAGTCAATTTGTCCAAGATACGGGTTGCAAGCTTAGGACCATTCTCCATAGTTGGAATGTGTATCGTCTATAAAAGAGAAATGAGATAATTTGAGGATAACATTTTGGGATATAAATTGAAGCAAGTCTGTCTATGTCTTGACAAAAGAGGCTTCTAAATCTACCTTGGGTGCAAGTAAAATCTCCAAGGACCATGACCTCCATAATACTGGACAACATAATTAAACTTGTGGCTGAAAGAGATTGCATACCCCTAATTTGTATGTGAGTCATGCCCATTCATGCCTCACTGGCTGTGGGCTTTGGGTAGTTTGATTTTAGTAGATAGTTGTACTCTCAAACACTTTTCTTATTATGCCTTTTAGTATAATAGGATAATTAGATGTAACTTTTGGCTCTAAATGCCTTCTAAAACAGAACCATTAAAAAGGTGAAACTTTATAAACTTGTTTCTAGAGGTGAAATAATAACTGGATTTTTAAAAATCTGACCTAATGAGAGCTTCTTTTAATAAAGGGGACAGATATCCTTACCTAGGTACTGTCATAATAAAATACTGAACACTAGCTTTATAATCAGTATAAGTACTGATATAAAACGGTATAATTCTTTTCCCATGAAACAATCAATCTGTATGTGGATTTATGTCAGGAACCATCCCTTAAAAGCCAAGTTCTAAAACCTTAATCAATGAAGCAGCCACCATTAAAGTCTATAGAAAAATCAATCTGATTTGCTGAGGAAAATAATTGTGTGGCGGAACTTAAAGACCAGTGGAATTTGTATTTAATACGGGCCATTTAAGTCAATTCATCTTGTAAGAATAATTCTCACATGTCTCTAAGTTCTAAAGGTAGATGCTGATGTTAATCATGAGTATTAGAGCTTTGTTAAAGGGGAAAGTCAAAGCACTGGCAAGATAATAAAAGTACCATACATACAAAATCAGACTGAGAGGAGAACATTACTTCCAGCCAAATCCTCAAGTTTCTTGGGAATATTTTAGTTAATGTACTGGGTTTGCCAAATGAAATTTTTTTATACTGCAGTCTACTTAATAATAATAATACTGATAGTAATAAGTGAAGGAATTGACCATTCAAATGCATTTTTCATAACTATCTGGCATTCCTATCCAGTAGTTTGAAAGCAGTTTTGGAAATCAGAAAACTACCTACTGATTCTAACTACCAACTGAGCCTTTTTTAGTGAGCTGGTGGAAAGAGATAAAAGTGGAAGTCCATTGGCACAGCTCCAGTCCTAAGGTGAGGTAACACAGACATGACACTTGCCAAAGACAAAACTGAGTTCCTACCATGTTGGAGCTTACATGAAATCACTGGAAAGGTGGTTGTAATATGCCATTACAGGTTCATCTGAACAAACTGTACTGATTAATGTAATGCCATGTTATAAAACAACCCTCTGTGTCTTGGGTCCAAATAAAATTTTATTCACACATTTAAAAGTTAATTAAATTATAGGCAAATGTTTTAAAATAACAGGAAGGAAAGAACAGCTTGTCTTACCTCGCCCTTGTATAGTATATCAGAAACTGGGCAGACAACGCAGGCTGTGCCAGAGCCAAACATCTCCCTCACTCTGCTCCCCTCCAGGGCGGTTGTCAAGTCGTCCATGGTGAGGTGCCTCTCTGACACTTTAAATTCACCCTGTTTGGAATATATATATGTATATAAAGAAGTGATGCTTACCTTAGTATTTTACTTTCCAATTCAACTCAGATAATGTCATAATCATCCTTTAGGGGAAAGCTGGGAAGGATGTAATCTCACTGTATTGGTGAATGCACTGAGGTGTTAAGCAATCTATTTCAATACCAATAGTAATAAGTAAATAAGATTATCAAAATACAAAACTGACCCATTCCAAGTGCTACTTAATGTACATTCCACATACTTTAGTATAAAGAACAACAATAACACATTATACATTATTAATAATCACAGTTACCATCTACTCATTATAAGCCAAGTTCTTTAATGCTGAAGGTGTTACTATCTCCTTTTTACTTAGGAGTAAACTAAGATTCAGGGAAATTAAGGGTTATCCCCAAGGCCACACAGCTAGTAAATGGCAGAAACTGAATTTGAACCCATGTCTGATCCAACTGGCTCTAAATTTTGTCCACTTTTTACTGGGTCTTTTTTTGGAGTAAAAAATAGTTTGAGTCAAGGTGCAGTGTTAAGTGCGCACACTTGTAATCCCAGCACATCAGGAGGCTGAGACAGGAGGATCGCTAGTTCAAAGCCAGCCTCATCCAAAGTGAGGTGCTAAGCAACTCAGTGAGACCCTGTCTCTAAATAAAATACAAAACAGAGCTGGGGATGTGGCTCAGTGGTTGAGTGCCCCTGAGTTCAATGCTGGGTAACCCCCACTCCCTCAAAAACATTACACTGAGTTCAAATATCTGAAATGTTTTTTAAAAAATAAATATATACTTGAACTTTACTTGAGAAATTGCATTGTACATATATTTTTTCTTTATAAATTCACTGAAAGTTGATTTGATAATCTTCCTTTTTCTCTTTTAGTATCACATGAGATTGTCATAATGGAATAAGTATGTAACTTCACCAACTTTTGCTTGATTGTTTGAATATCTTAATTGCTTAAAACCAGAAAATAGAAAAACAATTCAGGAATCTTATAAACTACCTGCTTAAACTACCTTTCTAATACTATGCTTTAATATTTTAATTCTCATTCTTTCAAAGTTTTGTCAAAGGATCTTTTAATTGAGGACAATAAAATTGTCTATATTGAAAGAAAAATGAGAGTCTTTTTAAAAAACCTATAAACCATAGGAATAAGAAAAACAGTAGAATGAATTGGACGTAACTTTCCTATGTTCATATATGAGTATACTACAAAAGAAACTCCACATCATGTGCAACCACAAGGATGGGATCCTAATTAGAATGAATTATATTCCATGTATGCACAATGTTGTCAAAATGCACCCCACTGTCATGTATATCTAAAAAGAACAAATAAAAAAAGGAAAAAACAAAACCTATAAAACCCACAATATATAAAAATGGAAGTCAAAGTCCTTGGCAAGATAAAAAATATTAGAAAAAGCATGCATGATGCTGTAAGTGGATTTGGAGGGATAGCAAAGTAAGTCTGCAATAGAAATATGTACGTTTTTCTCAGTCTGCACTTGCAATTTTGTTGTTCAAAGGTAAATAAATAAATTCCAGTAAATCAGCCAAAGTTATTGAAAACAAGCTCAGTTCCATGTTCTGGAAAAGAAAAAATAAATAAATAAAACTCTCTGGTAAATAAACAGAATTGTTTTTACTCTGTTCATCCTTACTTATCTTTGGACAATTTCCCCTGTTTGGCAAGTAGTGGTAACCCCCCACATGCCTCTTGGCATTTGATGTCTCACTGTTTTAAAATAGCTTTTAAAATAAATTACAGCCAAGGAGTCAAGAAAAACTTCCTCCATTATAACCTATTTTTCATGCTAGCAAATCATTAGTGTGGGAAAGCATTTCCACTTGCAACTTGTCATCAAACCTTCTGTACTTGGTTGCTTTTTTTTCTTTAATAAAACAAAAATTACTGAGCGTCGAAAATATATCTTTCCAATTGCAAACATATTTAGGACAGGGCAAGCTGTTTGAAATTATACCAACAGTTTGTAAATGTCATGCCCAATGTGCCAGCCAGCATGTGGCAGTTGGGTCTTGTCTACTTCAGGGTTTTGTAGAATTATTTATAGCACATTTCTTCTACTTTCAGTCTTTTCCAGAGAAATTGCCAGTACTCTCCTGGATAATGTGTGCATTTCTGAGCATTTGTCCTGTCAGTATTGTCTGACCACAGTATGCACAAAGCCTTTCCTGGTCTTTGGAGGCCATTTTAACACATGGGTCAAAAGTTCTCTCCAAGAACCTTTGCCAGACAATTAACTCATCCAATATTCATCCTGAGAACGCTATGTTATTTCCAATACCAAACAGTTTAATAGGCTTGCTTGTGTCACATGGATTTGAAAGTCTACTGAAAACAACTTGACATTTGCCTCTACGTTTTGATGTTTAAAAAAAAGCATGTATATGAACTGCGGACCATAGGGGGCAGTAGAGAGAGAAAGAAGGCTACCAAACTAACAGCGTTCTGCTAGGAGACAGTCACACGTCAGGAAGACTCTTCCATTTGTATGGCAAGGGGGTTACACTGGACTAAACAGAGGAAGTGAAGAACCACGCTATCCTACAGGACTGGAAGGACAGCAGCACACAGAGCCTCGGCGGGACAAGCTGGTGAGATACCGGTATAAAGTCTGAGACAAGGACTAGAACAGCTCCTCATTAGGACATCTTGTTAAACTGGTTTTTCTGTCCCTTCCCTAGAAACAATACTCACTTTATAAGCTTGCCAAGATGGTCTTTCTAGGGAGTTCTTTCTATCCAGTGACTCAAGGTATGATTTAAAGATAACATTGGTTAGAACCACAGGATATTGTTTCACTGGGAGCTATGCTTATTTTGATTACTGCACTGTTTCGGGCTTATGAAAGCGTTCGAGTCAAAGGTACCCACCCACTTGTGTGCCAGGTCCAGGATGCACCGCCTCGTCACTCCTGGAAGAATGATGCCATCTAGCGGAGGAGTTGCCAGTTCTTCCTCTGTCAATTAGAAATTGGAATGTATCCTTAATCAGTAAAATAAAGAGATGATCTTCCACTATCAAGTAAGAAGTAAAGAATACTTCTCAAGAGGAACATCCTGAAGTCAAAATTTATCTTAATAGATAAAACCTGGTTCATAGTTGGGGCAAGTAGACAGGATCTTGCTAAGGAACACGGGTCACATTACCAAACCTTCTGAGAATTCTATGAAGGAGGCTGTTCCCTAAGAAATGCTCATACAGCTGGTGCACGCCTTTAATCCCAACTACTTGGGAAACTGAGGCAGGAGAATCAAAAGTTTGAGGCCAGCCTCAACAACTCAGCAAAACCCTATCTCAAAAAAAGTGGGGGCTAGGGACGTTGCTCAGGGGTAAAGTGCTGACCTACAATATACAAGGTATTGGGTTTAATCCTCAGTACTATGGGAGGGAGAGAAAGAAATATGCCTGGCTACTTGGGCTGGGCACTACTTCTGCACTGCCCTTTACAAAATCTATGTTTAGTGGTTTTCAAACCTGCTGGAGTATCAGCACCAAATATTCAGATGCTGACTTCACCCAAGAATTAAAGAGGAAATCCCCCAAACAAACTCCACGGCTGGGCCACTGGTCCACTGTGAGAGGACCACAGGCCCCTAGCGCCAGGGTCTGTCTCTCAGCCACACAAGCTCTTCTTACAACAGGCTGTCTCTGGTACTCAACATTTGCCTTTCTTCCCTACTTCTGCCACCCGAGAATCTAAATCTTCAAACCATAAATCATTACTCCACAAGGATGTTAAACTTTTTATCAGATAAATTGTTGCCCATTAGGCTTCTGCAGAGAAATTCACAAAGTGTACTTGAAAGGGTCACTAGGTAGCGAAAGCTGGAAGGAATCACACTGATGACCTGGAGCTCCCCCAGGGTCTTTTATGTAGTTAAAAAGAAGTTTAGAATTCATTTAAACCAATCCTATTTTACAGAAGAAGAAATAAACACAAGAGCTGGGCTTGTCAAGGTTGGTGACTCTGGGGTAAGGGCAGGACCACAGCTCATGTGCCCTGACCCTTGGGCAGGGGCTCCAGTGTGGCTGCTACATAGGGCTCTGTCTGGAGGTCCCAGAAGTCCAGAGTCATCCTCAGATCCTCAAAACTCATTGTGGCTGGCCCAGAGTGGTAAACAATTAAATATTTTTGAACAAATAAATAAATAAACCCTCTTTGCTAGGATACATAGGGATATGGATTTTGGAATTTTGTCTCTAAAAATCACGTGCTGAAAATTGCTTTCTGCAAAGATGAAATGTGTTCTTGGCACTATCCTCAGGGCTACTTTTTGTCATGTTTAGAAGTGTTGATGATCTCAAAATAAACATGTGTTTTGTGATAGCTAGTTAGCTAGATACAGAAATGTATAGGTCTATATGTATGTGTGATTATCTCTCTCTCACACACACACACACTTACAGTGAGCCTAAACTGGACCTTTCCTAAAGCGTGCACAGCTCTGAGACTACACAAAGTTAAATGAAAACAGCAGCTTTGCATGTGCAAATGCTGTTTTGTGAAATCCATTTAACACCCAGAACTGTAACCACTAGCCTGAGGTCAAGGAACAGAACATCTGCTCCTCTGGTTGCCAGACAGAGAGGATGACATGACAACATTTGGGTGAGAAATATTCATTTTCCTGTGCAACCACAAACATGCTCACAGGAGCCAGAACCAATTCCAGATTGCCCAACAGGAGGAAAACAGAACCTACAAAGTGCAGCTTGTCTTTAACAAAGAGATCATTTTCAGGGGATGAGGAATTTAGAAGCAATAACAGCAGGATTTGCTTGACTTCCCAAAGTCAAGCACTGATGGAGAGTGGAAATGCAGGTTTACACAAGAGCCCTGAACACCAGCAGCACAGTTACTCACTTCTTCAGCAAGTATACAGCAAGTGTAAACTGTTTTAAGCTCCATGAACCAGAGTGATCCAACTCCCTACTTACTTTGTGACAGGCACAGGCGAACGATTATTGTGTTAAATATTCTCATAGATCATGGAAGAAAAAAAGGGGGAAGCGGGGGAGGTTACAATTCTGAACAAAGACTCAAGGAAAACCATACTGAGGAGTCCTTCACCAAGACTGGGAGGCTGAGAAACACCTAGGCATGCAGACGTCTGACGGCCAGAGCTCAGAGGAGAGAATGGAAACACCTACGTGGCCAACAAGGCTCACAGGCTGGGTGGACATTGCAGCAGTGACACCTGTGGCCATCATGCTCCCATGCCAACTGTGAGCACAGCCACAGGGCTGGGCTATATTCTTCTGAGTGTCCCTGAGAAACTAACGTGACTCCATTTTTGAGAAACCAGCCTCTACCTCAGAGCAAAGCCTGTCCAAGGAAGGGGGCATGACCCTTGTCCTGGGAAAAACCCACAGAGCACTCCTAGGCACATACCCACCCTGCTGAGTTGTTTGTCTGCAAATAACAGGAGAGATCTGTGGCACCAGGTGTCCCTGACTCAGTTAGGCTAGGTGAAGACCCATAGCAACCCCCTAGCAACCACTGATCAGCATGAGACAGGGAAAATACCTGGGATGCCAGGTGACCCCCCGCCCCCAGTAGTTTATGGTGATTGATAACATGTTGGGAAACCATGTAGTTCAGCACATACTCTCCTCGTAGCCTAAACCAATCAGTTCAAAGGAATCCCCCTCTTGTACTAACCAATCACCCCTACCCAACTTGTTCCCGCCAGTGAATGTGCTAATCAATGTTAAGAGTTGTTTGATTTTCCCGCGGTATGGAATGATTTGCTGTGTGATGTTGTGACGCATAGAGTATCCCCCCAAAACCTAGAAAATCTCACTGAACAAAGGACCGGGACTCACTCCCTGGGACCACTGCATTGGAAATGGTTGTGAGTCCAGGCTCGAGCTTGCAATAAAGACTCTTGTGTGATTGCATCGGATTCAGCTCCTGGAGGTCTACTGGGGTCCCACGAATCTGGCGTTACATCCCCAGTGTCCAGACCACGATAAAATTTGTTCAAACAGTGAGGTGTATATGTTAAATAACTTATCAAAAAAGTGAAAAAAAAAAGAAAGAAAATGGAAGATGTGTCATTTTTATTACCAGTTGGTTACAGGAATCAAAATTCCCATGAGCAGACCAAGGGCCACAAATAGCCACTGGGCATAGCACTGCGCTTTCTACACACACTGTCTGCCTTATCTACCTTTCTGCACCAACACCTTGTCCAAGAGGGGTGGTGGTAGGTGTGAGGATCGTGGGAGGGTGGCAGGTCACTACTGAAAGAACCCTGCTTATGTCTCCTATTATCAAAATTTGTGAAAAAGATCAGTATTTTGCTGGCTTTCAACTTTTTTTTTTTTTTTTGTATTTTCAGAAAGCCACGTGGTGGCATGAATCAAAGTCTCTGCAGAGTTGCTTCAGTGTCTTACTTTTTGGTCTGAAGGTTGTTGCTAACGTTCTGTTTTCTTCTCTCCTAGTACTGTTCAGGAATTTATTTCATCCCCTTTCTCCTTGTTTCAAATTTATTTGCCCTTTTTGGTGAACACCCCCAACCGAAGGTGCACCCTGAACCTAAAGTTGCCTCAGGCAAGAGTTACTAAAGAGAAGCTCTCAAGGTCTTATTTTGCAAGAGGCAGAAGACAAATTCACTCATTTTTATTCTGACCTTTAAAAGCCATGATAGAAATGCTCCATGATTCTTGTTTGGATAAGGATTGTTTTTTAGCTGGGCAGTTTCTTGATGTTTCTGATTAAATCTTGTAGCTCTGATTCAGCGGGTGCTTAAATCCTGACAGCTCTCAGCCATACACAATGGTGGCACCAGTCTGAGTGATGCAACTATTTTTGCTTTGGGTTGGTTGTGTGGGTTTAGGGGTGGCGGGGAAGAGAAGGAATAGGCAGGTGGGAAGAAAAGTGGAATCAATCAGTTTTCTCCTAAGTACGGAGTTCGACATTCACCATCTTTTTCCTGGCATAATTTTTTGGGGGGTGGGGGTGATCCTAGGGATTGAATCCAGGGCATTGTGCATGCGAGGCAAGCACTCTACCAACTGAGTGATATCCCCAGCCCCCCTAGCATACTTTTATTTTTAAATAATTTTTTAGTTGTCAATTGACCTTCATTTATTTATTTTTATGTGGTGCTGAGAATCGAACCTAGCGCCTCACACATGCTAAGCAAATGCTTTACCACTGAGCCAAACCCCAGCCCTGGCCTAATTTTTGATGTATGTATATAAAATAACTCAAAAACTAAAATTCACAAATTTTCCAGTTTAAGTGTGGTTTTTTAACAGTACCAAGTACAAGCAGCAGGAACGGAAGATGAACATGGGCTGTACCTGGCTTTCGTATGCCAAGAATTACCAAGGCCAGCTCAGGACAAGGGGCGCTGCCCATACCTCCTGTGTTCCCTACCTCTGGTGGAATCTAAGGCACACCCTGTTGAGTCTTTGTAGCTAATGCTTAAATTGGTACACAGCTCTGCACTCAGCCACATCTGAATCACCACTTTCCTCTTTTTTCTAGCCAAATAACATAAGAGCACCAGAGGCTAGTGTAGAATTAAAATGTCATATGAAAATACTGAGACCTCACAAGTATTCAGAAACATCATTTTACATTTCAAGTCAGGACACTCACTGTGAAATGAACAGTCTAGGAGGAAAAACACGCTTAAAAATATGTTTCTAAATTTTTTGTGGTTATCAAAATTCTAATAGAAATAAATACATATCTCCCCGCAACAGACACACTTTTGGCCATTTAACTTAATGGTATATACATTGTCAACACTTCACCAAACCCCTATGGTCTCTGGCAACTACTTAAAAAAAAAAATAGCAAAGAAAGGTAATGAGCATTCAGGATATTAAAGGTGGTAAAGAAGTCCTGATTTCTAAACATATAGTAATAGTCTTAAATGAACAAGGGTCTAGATATAATCTTAAGATACAATGATTTGTTTTTAAAAGTGCATTTTCATCAAGTAAAGCTCTAGAGTAAATCTGGAGGTTTTCTGACAAGTTACAAAGGTATATATAAAAAAAAAAAACGGTCTGCAATTATTTAAAAAATTATAGAAAGTTGGTTGTGGGTGTAGATCAACAGTGGAGACTTGCCTAATGGCATGAAACCCTGGGTTTAATCCCCAGAACAGAAAGAGAAAAATACAGCTACACACACACACACACGTGCATATATGTGTGTATATCAAAAGGGTACACTAAATGCTCTATCAAAACAATCAGTAGACTGTATTACTATAGTATTTCAAATTTTGTTGATGGTTAGTGCACACTGAACTGATGTGAGACCTATTTCCTCATACAAGGTATTCAGATAGGAGTATGCTTGCTATGTGGCAAACAGCAGAAAGCAACATATCTTCAAATCACAGTGACTTAAATCCCTTAATGTGACATTTCAGTAATTAGTACATCAAAAACAAAAACAAAGTCTTTATAACTTCTTGAAACTAAAACTGAAGTCCAATTGGACTCAAAAGCACAATATTCTTTGCCTTGGGAATTGGGTTACCTTCTCCCTCTTTCTAATTTTCTAGTTCTTATCTTTTTCAGTCTCATTGAAAATGGTCAAAACATAGCACAGAGCTGAAATCTGAGCGTGTTACCTCCATCTTCATTTATCCAGTAAAGAAAAAGATTCATAGTTCCGACTTCCGTTATCTGATTATCCTCTCCATAGAGCCAAAGAACCTGCTGACAACCATTCTCTGATGCTTCACATTGGGCAAAAAGAGACGACCCATAATTCCTTTTAAGGGAGAGAAAATATTATGATTATTAATGTCACCCTAAACCTCATCTTCAACACTCAAATATGTATGTCCTTAACTCACACATGGATGTAGTCAACATACTTAATGTTCTTAAGATGTTCAACATGTTCTTAATATGTGTACTCTCTCTAGTTAACTCCAATACATTAAAGGAAAACCCATCAGAGAACCTAAATGATCTCTGCATTCATCTGAGAGACAGCAAGCTAAAATCTCAGAATCTTAATAGGAAAAGTGATGACAAGAGAACACAGGTAAATAACCAAGTTAACGACAACACGTTAAAAGTTTTTGAGTATTTTTTCCACACACAAGCATTTTACATGACTTATTTAATTTAAACCTCACATCACTCAATACTATGTATTACCCATTAACATTATTTCTGCTATTCAGATGAGAAACTAAGGCTCAAAAACTAAGCTCAAGTAGCAGAGCATTAACTGATGTTTTCTGATTTGAGACCTTTTAACATATTCCAAAACCACCAAGTAAATGCCTGGTGTCTGAAATTCCCAAAGGTGGAAAAAAAAAAATCCTGAGTTTGACCAAAAAGTGTTCTGAAAGCTTGCTTTTCTTAACCCACTTTATTTATCCTAGATTTTTTAAAAATCAAAAGAGCATAGCGTATCTTCCTGGAATGACAATGGAATTTAGTAACATTTCAAAATTACAGTTTATTTAAGCTTAAATGAGAAAATAACAGAGTATATTGCAAAATATGGATGACTGTTTAATGATAATCTTCAAATGAATGATTCTTGCTTTCCTCCCTAAGCTCCTAGCTGTACAATTCACTCTTCTTGGTTTTTGGAGAACATTAGGAAACTAGTTTGAGAAGCACCATATGGGACAATTGGGTATGGGAAATAAATCCTGCACCCACCCTTGAACCAAAGCCCCTAGAGGTGCACAGAAACAAACTAACTTCACTAAAACTACTACAAAGCAATAATGCAATCATCTGCAAAATACCTGATTAGGTCTTTTTAATTACCTCTTTCTTATAGGTGAGATGACAATGTGCACTGTTGTCTAAATAAAAGTATAAGTGCCAGAGCTATTATTATAATGAATATGAGCCACTTTCACTTGCTTATCTTCCTTTCCCACTAACTTCCCTCTTAGAAAAACACAGCCCTTCCTGCAGAGCATCTTGCCTTGCTGCAATTCAACTCAAGGGTGAGCGTGTGACCTAAGCTTCTCATATCAAGCCCTTCTTTGGGTTCATTCATTTGTTCACTTAAAATGTATGAAACCTAAAATATAAGTATTTTCTCCTCTCTAGGGTTGCACCTGCAAGGACACAGAAACTTAGCAACAGTGATCTTAACTCTTAGCAGGTGCATCACCACCCTCCTAGTTAAATGTGCCAGTGGATCCCTTTCCACTTAAGATTTCTAGAGTTGGGGACCATTTGGCCCAGCTATCCCACTTCTTGGTCTATACCCAAAGGACTTAAAAACAGCATACTACAGGGACACAGCACATCAATGTTCATAACAGCACAATTCACAATAGCTAAACTGTAGAACCAACCTAGATGCCCTTCAGTAGATGAATGGATAAAAAAAAATGTGGCATATATACACAATGGAATATTACTCAGCAATAAAAGAGAATAAAATCATGGCATTTGCAGGTAAATGGATGGAGGTGGAGAAGATAATGCTAAGTGAAGTTGGCCAATCCCCAAAACACAAATGCCTAATGTTTTCTCTGATATAAGGAGACTGATTCATAGAGGGGTAGGGAGGGGGCAGAGGGTTAGCAATGATGGTAGGATGTGATGGACATCATTATCCAAAGTACATGTATGAAGACACGAATTGGTGTGAATATACTTTACAAACAACCAGAGATATGAAAAATTGTGCTCTATATGTGTAATATGAATTGTAATGCATTCCACTGTCATATATTTTAAAAATAAATTAAAAAAGATTGCTGAAGTTGGTTTTCTGACTTGCAATTGAAAGAATATTGACTAGTAACTGAAATAGTCTAGAAAGCAGTGAAAAATAGGCATGATACCACATGGCTGGCTATCAATAGTGGAGCATGACGTTGACTCGCTCCAAAGTTATGCTGAAATTTACCAAATGACCCTCGGAACAGATGCCAAACATAAATTCTTGATCAATATGGAGATGATACAAGTCTGGCATACAGGATGCCTTTGTCTAATGACCATAAAAAATTACACCATGAAAACATGAATGCCTTCTAATAATGATATAAACCATACTATAGGGAGAGCCCAGCAGAAAGACTATGGGTTTGGGGTTCACAGGACTGAGTATAGCTCCTGTGCTTCTACTACAGACCAAACCCCATCCCATTGGGGGTTCGGCTTTGCAGTGGTCTTGAGGTGAGAAAGCCACCTACTTATCAGCTACTGTTTGTTGAGAAGTGACTACTGTCAGGCAGGGTACTAGGTACTTACCTTATTTCATGGAATCATCTCAAAATAGCTCTATACTTTGTTATACTTTTGAGAACCCAAGAGGACAAAAGGATTTGAAATATTGAAATATTGAATTTTAAAAAAAAAGAAATATTGAATTTTAACCTTTATCTGGGAGGAGTACCGACGGGTTGGGAAACAAAAGGAGGCCACACCTCCTTGTCAGCCACGGAAAGCATAAACAACTGATAATAAGGTGAGCCATGTTGCTAAGGTGTTATATTTGGTCAGTTAAATGCATTCTCCACTTGTGATATTTTCAACCTATGATGGGTTTACCAAGTTAAGTCCAGTGAAAAAAGCAAATCAGGTCATATTTTTGCTTCATCAATTTATTTGACTGACAAAAATATTTTGTTTTATATGTCATATGTGTATGTGTGTATACACACACATGCACACACACACATATGTCATAAGTTATTTGGAAAAAATAAATAAATAACAAACACTAAGAAATAGGTTATATAAGCCTGTCACACTCCAATGTAATATGTTTAAAAATATTCAGTTGAATTTTAGCTGAATTTTCTCTCATTGTGATACAATGGTAAGATTTTGCCATATCTAAAAATAAATGATTATTTCACATGTAAAATGCCCTTTAATCTATTAAAAAAAAAAAAAACACAATGGGAATTCTTCCAGCATGAATAGCCTTTTAAATAAGGCTCTAAGAACAAAAAACACACCCTTTTGAGAGTGTGTCTGAATTAAAACTACCTGGGCAGGGAAAGAGAAATTAAAGACAACTGTTTCAATGCATTGAAAGGATTTTAATGTTTAGTATTTGACTGATTTATACATCATATTCTATAAATGTTTTATCTTTGATACAAAATTTTCAATGATTTTTCTCAGTTGTTCACTGTATTAAAAATGCCCACAGAGAAATTGATATCTTAGTAATACTTATGGGTTCCCTCCCATGTGCTTCTAATATTCAGAAGAGAAACATATGTCCTTTTGGTGGGGGAAATAAGAAACTGAAAAAGTGGGAAAACTGCCTACGGAGAAAAAATTCAATATAAATTTAAGTAGAATAAACATCTGGAAGATTAGAGATATTAAATACATCCCTCCAAGAGAATAAATTATATTGTGTGTAATCCAACTGATAAGGAGAGTCCAAGATAAAGAGAGTCCCCGAGATAAAATAAGAAAGTGAAAAAGCCACCTACTATCAGCTACTGTTTGTTGAGAGGTGACTACTGTCAAGCAGGGTACTAGGTACTTACTTACCTTATTTCATGGAATCATCTCAAAACAGCCCTATACTTTATTATACTTTTGAGAACCAAGAGGACAAAATGATTTTACTGTACAAGAATCAAAGATGCTGTGATACAGTTTCTCTGCCTACCAGCCAATTTATTTAGCCATTTATGCAGAAAGCTTTCTATGTGCCAAGCACTTTATATCATCTCACTTAATCTGCATTAGTAAGCATTTTCACCCTGATTATAAGACTCAGAGTAAATATAATACCCCAAGGAAATTAGCTTGTTTGTTTTTAAAATACTTTAATCATTTATTTATTCACTTACTTTTTTTTTTCTTTTGGCACTAGTTTTAGGTTCAAAATGAAAGGAAGGTGCTAAGATTTCCCATACACTACTTGCTCCTGCGGGCATTATCAATGTCCTCCCTTAGAGTGGTAAAAGAAAAAGCAAAAACTAACAGGTAATTGTGTGTGTCGGTGAGGGCGCAAGGAGATATAAGGAGAAAGAAGCCTGACTTGTTCTGAATGAAAAAAAGTGATGGGTACTAAAGATATTCCTGTGATGAAAAACCTTCTTCTAGCTCAGTAGTTCTCAAGTGTGGCTGCACATTAAAATATCCTGATGTTCAGTCTATACCCCACACAAGAGAAATCAAACTCTCTAGAGCTAGGAGGCAGGCATCAGCAATGGGCTAGACTCCTGGAGATTTCACAGTGCAGCCAAATGAGGCCCATGAGGCTACGATTCCCCTTCAGCTCTGTGCTGTTGTACTACTGTTCTCACTCACACTTAGACATAAAAGGCTAATGTTAGCTAGGCACAGTGGTACCTGAGTACCTCCCAAGTAACTCCGTCCTCTGGAGGTTGAGGCAGGTGGATCACAATTTTGAGGGCCAGCTCGGCCATTTAGGAAGACCCTGTCTCAAAATAAGGGGGACATAGAAAGGACTGAGGTGTGTGGCTCAGTGGAAAGACTGCTTGCCTACCATGTGTGGGGGCCCCAGGTTCAATCCTCAGAATCTAAAACAAATAAAAAAGGCTTATGTTATCTCCAGGGGCTAAAAACAGTGGAATAATCTTAGAATTAAGGAAAATATCATCTTTCTCTCCTTTCTTCAGAGTCACTTAGTCAGCTTGTGTGAATCAACAGCTATTTAATAATACCAACTGAACACAGGGGTCCTAAAAAGTGCTTGGAGGGTAATGGCTGACTCAATTAGACTGAAGGAAGTAATAAAACACAAATCTTTCCTTGACTCCAAATGTCTCTGCCAACTAAATTAGCTGATACTCAATGCAAAATCATGTTTCCCTGTGTTTCTCCAGTTTGGAAGCATAGGAATAGGGAGCTTTGATGACATCTTGGAAACAATACGCATGTAGGTTAAAAGTCCGTCCTCTGGTTACTGCCTTGTCTTGCCAGTGCTGCTTTCATTCTGAGCTCCAAGACTCAGTCCTCTCTCATCTCTTCCTCTCCTGTAAGACTCTTCAAGTCAACTTCCATTGATCACAGAAGACCTGGGCCTTAGTCAAAGCATTTTTTTTTCTTTTTAAATAATGAACGTTATTCTTGGAGTACTTTAAGCCTTAGAGAAAGTAAGCAAAAAGCACAAAGCGTTTTCATCTACCCTTTCCCCAGCTCCAGTTCTCCTCTTATTACCATATTGCATTAAGTGTGATAGACAAGTCCATAGATTATGTGAGGGTTCACTCCATGCTTTACAGAAATATGAACAGTTGTGTATGCACCTGTTAGTACAGACTCCCATGCAGTTTCTGAAGCTGAGCATGGAGACCAGATCTCAAGTCTGACCCTTGAGTCCTTCACAGCATCGTTGTCACCCATTTCAGCTATGCTCTGCTCACTCAGTATGTACTTCCTATTATCACTTTAAATAAACCATTATTTTTTTGATGAGTTAAAAATAAGGACAAGAAACATTTTACTTTATCTTCACAGATTCCTTTTTCTACACTCTTCCTTTCTGACACTTTCAACATTTTCTTTTAACACTTTAACTATTTCACTCCACCTTCCACTTGCTTAATGGCTTCTGACCAGAAGTCCACTATAACTTTTTTTTAAGTTCAATCCATATTTTTAAATTTTTCCATATTTCTTATTGGTACACTATAGCCGTACCAATGGTGGGATTTGTTGTTTCATATTTGTATATGCACACAATAACATAATTTGGCTGCTATCATTCCCCCTCTTCCCCTCTTCTTACCCACTGTAATTCTTTTTGTAACTCCTATGTGCTTAAGGCATTTTTCTCCCTCTGGTTCCTTTCAAGATTTCCTGCATTGTCTTTAGTTTTCCAGCAGTCTAAAGATGATATTTGATGTTTCTGGTATTTATCTTGCTTGGTATTCCTTAAGCCTCCTGTATCTAGACTTTGGTTTTTGTCATTCACTTTGGAAAATCCTCAGCCATTATTATAACAAATATTTCTTCCCCTTCCCTTTCCCCTTCTGGTGTTCCAGTAATGTTCAACTCATCATACAGTAAATATTAGGTCTACTGTTATATTTTTCCATTCATTTCTTTCCCCTTATTTCATTTGGAAAAGTTTCTACAGACAGAGCTCCACGCTCTCTGATTATTTTACTAGCTGCGTTCAGTCTACAGATGAGTCCCTCAAATCAGCTGTTTATATCTACTACAGTGTTCTCTATTTTTAATACCTTTGATCTGTAAGAGTTTCCATCCTTCCTGCAACACCTATTTGTTCCTATAGTTGTCAACTATTGTCCATTAGATCTTATATATTAATCACAATTGCTTGACACTGCCCAGTGTGCATTTTTGAATGTGTATGCTGTAACTGATCCTGGGAGGGTGTTTTAGTTTGGATATGAAATGTCCCCCAAAGGCTCATGTGTTGAAGGCTTGGTCCCCCGTACAGCAGTGTTCAGAGGTACAGCTTTGGGGAAGTAAATGGATCATGAGAGCTCTGATTTCATTAGATTAATGACTTGATGGCACTGTTGGGAGACATTGGAGACTGTAGGAGGTGGGACATGATCAAAGGAGTGGGTTCTTAGAGGCATGCCCTTGGAGACCATACCTTATCCCTGGCTGCCTCCTCTCTTCCTCTCTACTTTCCAGCTTCCATGAACTGAGCGGCTTTCCATTGTCATGCCCTTCTGCCATGATGTTCTACCTCACCTCAGGCTCAAAGCAATGGAGCCAGTCAATCAGGACTGGGACCTCTGAAACCATGAGCCAAAATAAAATCTTTCTTCCTCTCTGTTGTCTTCCTCAGGTATTTGTAACAGCAATGAAATGCTGGCTAACACAGGGGGAGGGGAAGAGAAGGGGAAAAGGAAGGAATGGAAAGGGCACTGTCTAAAACATCAGCAGTGTGTCATTCAACTCTGTGGCCTTCCTGAATGTACGTGTTTTATCAGGGACCAGATGATGCACATCACTATTGGAGACAGACCAGGAAGAGCCCAGCCTGCTTAATCCAGCCACTCTTATTCACCTATAGGGGCATTCCCAAATCAAGGCCAAGTCCACCCCTGAAACTGTCCAACACTTTTGAATGCTCTTTTATTTCCTGCCAGCTGCATATGGCCTGAGACCAGCCAGAGAGAGCTGAAGCGGGCTCCCCTCAGCCAGTTCGCAGCAGGTGTGCCTACAATCTCTGGCAGCATGAAAGCACTTCAGCGAAGCAGACAAGCTCAAGTACAGACAGCTGAACTGATTCCTGGTTTCTTTGCTGTAGTTCTTGCCTATATGTCATATCTACCTTTCTCTCTCATGAAGGGCCATGGGTTATTCTTTAAACAACTACCTCCTTTAAAACACTTAAACCTAAACAGGAAACAAAAAAAATGAGCATTTACATTTGCATATTATTATATGATTCACATTGAAGCCAAACATTAATTACTGCAGGATTGGGAAGGACTGTCTCCTTCAGAGAGAGAGGCTGACTTACCCTCCCATCTTGCAGTCTCCAGTCCCACCTTTCCAGGCTCTGACATACTTCGGGTTGGCCCACAGGGATACTGGATTAAAGGTTCCACTTGAAAAATAAGGTCCCACTGGGCTTAAGATTACAAAGAGCAGGGCTTTGGTAGGCTTCTTGACTCCAAGAGAAGGCTGCAATAAAGTAAAAGTATACACGTCTATAATTTACGATGTAGACACTAGTCTTAAACTCTAGAGCTGATCTGCAACTATCTCCCAGCCAATTAAAGTCAAGTGACACAAAGCCTTTTAAGGTCTTTTAAGAAGGAAACACTTCTTGGCTTTGTTTTCTTTTTTCTTTCTTTTTATTATTGTCTTTATTATAATAATGTGTGCATACATGCATATACTTATGCACATATATGTGAATTTTGGCTTTGCTTTCTGAGTTACAATTTTAGAGAAAATGTAAATATATCAATTATTATTGCTGATAGGACAAGGTTGCATTGACAGGAAATTGACAGAGGGAAAACCTCAGTCTCTAGTATTGGGAGAGGAAATACACTATCCTGCTCCTCTTAATTTGCCCTTCTAATTCCCAGCCTAGTCAACACTCCAAGACAGATCAGCACCTCCAGGAGGTGACTGTCTGAAAGGATGCCATGCCCACATCTGCCTGTGTGTCACTTAACAAAGAGCAAGAGTGTGGTTTTTCCAAAGGCAAAGAGACCAAGCACGATAAACACCATCAAAAGGGCAGGGGGAATGATTCAGGAGCTTGTATCATAAATAACACAGATAGGAGACAAGACAGCCGTTATCACAACTACCAGGAATCAAAAGTCAGCAATGCACAATCATGCCAATCCCTCCAACACAAAAGCAGCTATGTGGCATTAGGGTCAGTGAATTATTAAGGAAGAAAACTGAGAGACTAGAAGTTTTGAGGGCTACATAAAGAGTCACTGGGCTCTTCTATATAATCTAAGGCCACCAGAAATCACAAACCAAGTCAGTACTGGAGCCACATCTGCCTGAACTAAGCAGCGGGGTGGGAAATATCATGTAGAGTGAGAGAAGAGAAGAGGAAACTTATGTCCAGCTGCTATTGTGTTTCTATAATGTTGTCTGCAACTGGCCAAGTGGAGTTTGGGTGGGCAGGGGGGTGGGGGGGTAGTTACCTGACTTTCCCTTATACGTTCCCCTCCTACTCCCTGCCTCCCAGTCCCTAGTCCACTACTTTGACATCAAGAATCATCGGTAAAATATTTGTGAGCATAACAAGAAGTGTGTATGTGCCTACTGAGGCCATCTGAAAAGTGTGTCCCCTTAGGAAACAGGAAGCTGCCATTGCCAGCACCATACAGGAACACAGGGACTGAGCAGAGCTCGGGAGGCCACAGAACAAACCCATGTGAGTGATGGATGAGCGAGTTAGAGAAATTAGCAAGCAGCAAGAGGTTCTGCTTCCATGCTGGTTTGTATTTGTTCTTCCATGGGGGCTTTAGATGAGAATAAGAGGACAGGCACGGTGGCGCACTCCTGTAATCCCAGCGGCTCGGGAGGCTGAAGCAGGAGGACCACAAGTTCAAAGCCAGCCTCAGCAAAAGCAAAGCATGAAGCAACTCAGTGAGACCCTGTCTCTAAATAAAATACGAAATAAGGCTGGAGATGTGGCTCAGTGGCTGAGTACCCGAGTTCAATCCCCAGTACCCCCCACCCCCCCCAGAAAAAAACAAAGAAGGAGAAAAAAAAGAAAATAAGAGCCTTCCACCAAGAAAGAATGAGGAGCCTGAGCACTTCGTTTTGCCTTTTTTTGGTTTCATTGTTTGGAAGGGAAAACGTCAGCATGGTATACATACCTGTGTTTCTTCCGGCTTAGATAAAACCTGATTATCTTATTTCTGTACTTTTATTTACCTATTAAAGAAAATGCCAATATCTCCCTTTCATGGTTGCTTTGGACCTTAATGTTTTAAATATTTTTTTTTTTACCATGAAAAGAGAAACGTCTCAATAATTTAGAGATACAATATACCAGAAAGTCTACAAGGCTTACCTACCTTCTAGTTTCTGAATAAAATAGCTTATTTGTGTAAGAGCTAAAAGCGTTTTATTGATTATCACATGAATGCCTGGACGTTTTTTTACTGGGAACTCCCGTATTTCACATGACCTGTATTATATTTAAAGAAGTAACAATAACACATCATCATGGGATCTTTTTCCTGTGATAAATTTCACTTCATTAAGGGTATAGGTAGTAGGGCATGTATCCAGCATACACTTAGCCCTGGGTTCCATCCCAGAACCTTGTTCACTTTCTTCCCTGGTATTTCCTTCCAATTTTAATTGACAAGTAAACTTCATTTATTCCACTAGGTGGTAGTATAGAGAGCACAGATAGAAAACAGGGAAGAATTCTACACATACCCGCTCTGGAAAAAAATGTCTCCATGAGCCTTAAAGCAATGTTTTTATTCTTAGCAAGCAGGTAAATGATGGGCTACAATTTTTCAATGGCAAAAGAAATATGTGTTCATGTGTACTAACATTTTATATTCTGAAATTTAAGACTGGTCCTCTCAAGTCTTAGAAGTACTCTAAGTACTACTGGTGAGGATTACATCTTAGTCACCTTCCTCCTTCAAGGATCACTTACAAAAATAGTCTTTCTGTGTAAAGATTTCTATAGCTGGATGCAGCGGCACACGTCTGTGATCCCAGCAACTCAGGAGGCTGGGACAGAAGGATTGTAAATTCAAGGCCAGCCGAGACAACTGAGCCAGACCCAGCCTCAAAATAAAGCAAAAGGGGCTAGGGATGTAGCTCAGTAGTACAGTGCTTGCCTGGCATGTGTGGAGCTCTGGGTTCGATAGACAGTATTTACATTTTAAGTCTCAGCACCAGGAAAGGAACTTGGTGATTGGGTCTGCTTATACTCTCAGGGACCATTATTTGTTCCTTTGTTTAATTTGCCTTTCTATCCTAAAAAACATAAATTCTGGGCTGCCACGAAGAGTATTTTATTTTATAGTTTAATCAAATGATTATGAATAAAATTTTTAATGGCCAGATCAGATTTCCAATTAAATAAAGCAAAAGCCACAAACATACAGAGACAATAAGGATGCCAATGGCTAATCGAGTGGGTGGGTCATTTTCAACAAGTCTGATACCCTGTGCACATTTTGATTGACTTTGAATTCTTCTCTACTAGCTTTTTGAAATACTTCAGCAGAATGAATTAGAGACTAAAAATTTTCACATGCAAAGCACATTACTTCACACGACCACATTGACTTCGAGATTAAAATACTAATGTATAAAAAACAGTAAGAAGATTTTTTTTTTTAATTTCATCGGCTTCATCTTACAACTTTGTTGTAATAATAAAAAAGAGGCAAATTGCAGGGAAACTGACACTTCTTTCTGGGTCAGCCAGAAGTTCCTCCACAGGAAGACACAACATGGGGTTGTCTGAAGTGAGCTCACCAAGCTGATAAAATTCTATTAGTCTGTTTGAGATGCGGAGCAGTACGTGGCTTGAACAGTTAAGAAGGAGAAAATGAAACAGCTAGGAATAACAGATGAGCACTTTTCAAAAAGAAGCATTTTCTTTAACCCAGAGAGCAGCCTGATTTCTATTTTGAATTCTGCTAGCTCTTAGAAAAGGTTACAAACCAGATGCTGGTGTCACATCTATAATCTCAGTAACTCAGGAAGCTGAGGCAGGAGGATTGCAAATTCTAGGCTAGCCTCAGCAATTTAGTGAGGCCCTTTCTCAAAGTAAAAGAAAAAAAAAAAGAGGTTAGAACATGCTAAGCATAATTTAAACTACCTATCTGAAAGATAAGATGTTCTTTTTAAGAAATCCTGGTTAATTTAAATAGAGAGTGATTTTTTAAAAAAGATTGGAACTAGTTTAAAAATGTCAAATAAAGGCTTTTTTTTCCTATACATTTTGTAGATACACAAAATTTCATGGTGGATTTTCCACACAATGTATGAATGATGTGTTTTTAATAAATGTTCTGAAGGAAGTATGCAAAGTAATGAATTCATATATAAATAAAATATTTTTTCAAGAGTAAAAAAAGGGGGGGGGGGCCTGGGGATGTCATCAGAGGTAGAGTGATAGAGAACCCCTGGGTTCAAGCCCTAGTACCGCACACAAAAAGAGAATAATACTGTAGTCAGGGGTGCTGTACAGGAGAGGATCCAGCAATGTGTGTGTGGGGAGGGGGTGTTTGTGTGTATGTGTGATGTGATGGTCATCCACAGAAAGAAAATCAAGTTCCTGCAGTAAAATCAGTTGCTTTGGAACAGATTTTTTTAAACTTCAATATTATACATTGTTTTTTGGCTTCTAAGATATTTGAGATATATGAGATATATGAGAATACACAGGGAAGTTAGGAGTTACACTCCTATATTTACATTGAGGAAAATGAGACTCAAAACAAATGATTTTGCTCAAGAGCTACACTTAATCTATAGCTATTTTACACTATATCAAAGGTTTGAAATAAAAATTAATGGAGGACTTGGAATTTCCTACCCTAAAGAGAGCTCCTGGGCGAGGGCCTTGCTTGCTGCCCACATACTTGTGCTCCCCATGTTCCCTGCTTTCAATCCCTTCCCATTCTCCTACCTCCACATGCTCTCCTGTAGTATCTCCTCAACCCGGAACACTCTCCTTCCCCCCACCCCATTACAGACTGAATTACCGCATTATGTGGAGAGCAGGCTGGGCCTTGCTGAATCCTTCCATAACATGTAGAACAGCAGCTTTCAGGCTGTGCCTAGACCTGAGCTGTTCTATAGCGAGTGTAAGTGCTAAGGCAGAATGACGTGGTAATTTGTCTGGGCAAAGAGATACCACGAGATGCTGGATATAGAACTTATCAAAAAGAACCTCCTTAAGCTACATAGTACAATCATAAGGCACAAACAGATAAAGTAATCATGCGAATAAAAATGACCCCCTGTGAACTTACCAAGTTAAATCAGAAGCATAAGAACACTGGAGCAGTCAAACTCCTATCTGAAAAACCAGGCAGGCCTGTGAGCTTATCAGTTTCTCCACAAATTGATAAAATTCTCACCTAAAACCCATAAAAGGAGTAGCCTCCCAAGACTGACTAGATAACACACACCAACACATCATCAGAACAAGTGAATGCTTT